AAAAAAAAAAAAAAAAAAAAAAAGGTTAGCCAAGTGAAAGGGATGAGGGTAAATATTCCAAGTAGAGACACCAAGTGGAGAAATGGCCCACGAGCAGAGTAGAAACGATAAGGAGTTAGAAAAGTATGAACTATGCTGGTTAGATAAGGAGAGGCTGTATCATGAAAGGCCTTGTATGCCATCATTGGGAGTTTGGACTTTATTTTGAAAATAATGAGAAACCACTGAAGAGTGAAGTAGGGAGAGGGATAACGATTTGAATTTTTAAAAGATCACATTTTAATGGTCTTACACATTTAACAGCATTTCATAGAGCAACTTGAAAGAAAAGAATATTTAATCTATCCCTTTACTCCTTTTGCTTGACAAAAGTCTGTCACTATTCTACGTTAATGGCAAAATGCTTCATGCTATCGTATGTAAGGAAGTATGGTTTGAAAACCACAGACCTCGTGTTTTAGATGAAAGTATGTGATGCAGGAAACTTACCTTCCCTGGTCATTAAACTCACTAGTGGTAGTCAGGGTTGAAATGATATTTACCTACACTTTATGATTCTAAATAGGCACCGCCAACCCCCCACCCCCGCCTCGCATCCCCACACACTAACGCCACCCCTGAACTAAAAGCCTTAGAGCAGCCTCTTTTCCGCACCTACTAAACGGAGTTATAAATTCCAACCTCATATGGCTGCTGTAGGGATTAAGTGAGAGGCGCCAAGAACACAGTAGCTACTGGCATAAGTAAGCATTAGCATCTATTACCACAAATCAGTGATTAATAGTGTTGGAAGTCATCAAAAAGACGCTACACTGCGTCCCAATCGCTGTTTCGGGAGGACGTACAAGTAGAGTGCCCGGGAGTGAAAACACGACCCCCGTTTTTGAGGGCACAAGACCTCACACACACACACACACCCCATCCATTTTCGGGTCTGGCTTTAACTCTGCCACTCGGGGCTCGCAGCACCGCAACTCGCCCTGTGACTATCTCTGTAACTACCTTTCCTCTTCTTGGCCAATGTTGCCTCTACAGGTAAAGGCCCAACCCAGCGCTCTTCATTATCCTCTTCGTTCTCTTGGGCCACTGCTACTACCGCTGCCAGCTCTCTTTCTCTGAGTTCCGTTTTCTCCGCTTCCTCCGGGTCCCGGCGCCTTCTCCTCCTTAGCTGGGCATCACCGCCACCTTCCGCCTCCATGTTGTCTGAATCGTCAGAAAAGGCGCGACACACGCCGCTGGACAACCAATCCCAAGGCAGGGGCGCAGCCGGCACGTCAGCGGCCGAGCGAGCTTCGGGATTGGCTGCGGTGGAGCCAATCAGCAGGCAGCGCGCGCACGGGTCGGGGCGGAGGCCGGTTTCCGCTACGCGGCGGCGGTGGAGGTCTGGGGCTCCCTTGGTAAGAAAGGCGCGGGGGAGAGCGCCGCGGTTGGTTGGCGCTTGTCGCGGGGTTCGGGGAGCTGCAGCCCCGATGGGGGGACCCTTACCTCCGGGAAGTTGGGTAGCCGACGTCCAGCCGGGCCTTGAGTCCCGCTCTTCGGCTGTAGAACCCCACGGGCTAGGGGAGAAAGATGGAGCAGTGGGGGATTGATGGAAGTGGTTACCTGGCCTCCCCCGAGCTTCTTGATTCTCTCCCACACGCTCTGAAGAAGGTGGTGAGCGCTTGCTACTGTTTTCTGGAGAGAGCCCCAGACATGCCAGGTAACCTGAGTGGCCCACGGTGGGGCCATTCACCCTTCTGCCCTCACCCTGGTCTAGGCCTCCATCTCTTACTGGCCTTCTGGACTTCAGCGCTCTTATTTTAAAAAAGAAAATAAGTATATTGTGGTTAGAAAAAACAAAAAAACACCTAACATAAAATTTACCATCTTAATCTCTTCTTTTTTAATCCATGAAATACAACTTGTCAAAATGACCTCCCTAGAACACTGCTTCAAAAACCTACGTAACGGCCTCCTGGTTGCCTATTTCAAACTAGATGAATCCCTTTACTTTTGCCTTGAGGTGGACCCCAGATACAGGGAAGGAACTGCCCATACTAAGTACTTTCCAAAGGTTCTTGTTTTTAATTTTAAAGACTCCCCTTTATTTGGCCCATTCTGTCTAGCAAGTCTCATTTCTTCTCTGTCTTCTGCTCTAATCCAATCGCTTTTTTGGTGCGTCTCACAAATTTGCCATGCTCATCCTTGCCTTCCAGTCTTACGTTTTTATGCCTTGAAAGCATCTTCACACCAGATCTAGCCTTCACCTTTACAACGTCTCATCCGTTAGACCCCCTGGCAAAAATAATGAGGATAAGGCTGATAACAATGGTAGGGAGCTACTACTGTGCACCCTGCACTGTACTAAGCCATTTATTATTCCAGGTAGATTTCTCTGATCTCTGTCCTGAATTTTCAAAGCATTTGCAGTCTGTATTGTATGTTACCTAATCATACCACTTCTCACTACCTGAAATCATGTCAGTCATTTAGTTGTCTATTTGTTTATATTGTCTCTCTTCAGTAAAAATATAAGCTCCATAAACACAGAGACTTTTTCACTTACACAGCTATTGCCACAGTTTCTGACAAATGGCACACATTAAGGACTTATTTGTTGGATAAATGAATACAGCTTAGAATCATATGGTTAATTTCTATTACTGTATTTCATGTATATTAGTCTTTTACCAGTAATAGTATGAACTTTTAAAATTTGGTATTAGATGTTTTAAGTTTGTATGGGATAGTATCCCCAAATAAGCAATGTTGTTCTTCAACAAATAATTGTGAATTGGAGTACTGAGGACCTCAAAAGGTTGACTTTTTCTATTTCCAGAAAGGTAGATTTAAGGATACAAAATGTGGGAAAGGGTTAAAGTTAAACCCTTAATTGTTTTTATTTATTTGCATTCTAATGCTCCATTGAGCTGCTAATTTGTTGAATATCTATCCACATGCTCAAGCACACATAGTTTCAGATTACTTTTGCATACTGATAATGTATTTTGTTGGTTAGTAACCTACAACCAATCTACAATCTACAAAGTGAAGAAAGATCAATCTGCACTTAATTTCTAAGTTAAGGTATATTTAAAACAAACATAATTTTTTACTTCTTGCTTAAAAATATCCTAAGATTGTTAATGACTGTTTATGGCTTTGTGAACTTAACTATATCTTTTGTGTATAACGAGGAAGATGTTTAGTGTAAACATTTTTGGATATGGCGTAAGTTATTTAACCAGTCTACTAGTTGACATTCAGATCGTTAATAGTAATGTTGATATCTAATACTGATACACCTCTCTGTATTACTAGGTACAGTTCTTAGAGCTTTATATACATTAACTCATTTAATTGTCACAGCAACCCTAGGGGATAAGTAATATTATCTTTATTTTACAGATAAGGAAGCTGAGGCACAGACAATTTAAGTGACTTGCCCAAGGTCACAGCTTGTAAGTACTGAAGCCAGGTTTTAAACCTAGACAATCTGATTATAGAGTTACACTTATAAATTTTTTCATAAATAATGCTGCAGTAATCATACCTATATAGACTTATGCACATATACCTATCTATAGGATTATTCCTAGGAATAGAATTTCCTGGGTCAAAAGATAAATCTATTTAGAATTTTGATGGATATTGTTTATTATCCTACCAAATAGTTGTTCTACCAACAGTGCATGCCTCCTGTTCTACACTCTTGTCAATGTTGTTTCTTACCAGATATGTCTTTATTGCTAGTTCGAATGACAAATAACTCCTGCTTAATTTCCATTTTTATAAGTTATGAGTAAGGTTAAGAATGTGTGTTTCCCTAATTTAAAAGGAATTTCTCAATTTTTCTTTGAATTTGCCATTTGAGTCCTTTGCCCATTTCTGTTGTATTATTTTGTTTGTTGTTTACCTTTTTATCATAAAGTAAAATACAGATACAAAACATCCCCCACAAATAAATGTAAAGTTTATAAGTTATTATAAGGTGAACACCTTTATCACCATGCAGATAATAAATAAAATTTTAATAATCACCTCAAAATTCTCTCCATTTGGCCCATCCCAATCACAGCCCTCCCTCTGTTTCTACCTCCTCTCCCTTGCTTCTTCCAAAAGTAATGGACATCCTGACTGTTTTTTTAAATATGTTTTTTATTGATTTTTAGAGAGAGAGGAACGGAGAAGGAGAGAGAGAGAGAAAGAAACATCTATCTGAGAGAGAAACATCTATTGGCTGCCTCCCAAATGCACCCCAACAAGGGATGAAGTCTGCAACCTGGCATGTGCCCTGACCGGGAATCGAACTGGTGACCTTTTAGTGCACGGGACGATGCTCAACCAACTGAGCCACACTGGTCAGGGTGATATCCTGATTTTTATAGTGATCACTTTTTAGTAGTTTTAAATGATGGGTTGTTGGTTTTATTAATATTAGGCATTCATTATACATTAATTAGATTAGGCATGAGGTGCCATATATATTATAAATACTTTTCTTAGGTTTTTGGGTTTTAAATTTTAACTTTTTAATGATATCTTTATCCATGCAGAATTAAAAAAATTTGTGTATAGATATTTTGCTTAGTTTTTAGAAAGGCCCTTTCTAATCCAAGATTAAAAACAAAAAATCTGCATGTTTTGTCCCTGTTTTTTTTTTTTTTTCCTGTTGTTGTTTTAGTGATTTCTGTTTCAATTTTTGGGAGGATGGAGGAGTGATGTAACGATTGAAGTATATGTGTAGGCTCCCCCCCCATACTATGTAATTTGTTAAAAAAAATGACGGCAGTTCTATATGGGCCAAAATACATATACACAAAGAAAAAGGTAGTATTAGTATATAAAATATGCTCTTATTTGGATTGTTCTTCTTGCCCCTTAACTTCATTGCCACCTCTGTCATATATCATAGCTCTAAATATGTGTGAGCCTAGAAGGGCTTTGCAATTGTTCCATTGTTTAATTTGCCCATCTATGTGCTAATTCCACACTATTATAATTAGTATAGTTTTATAATAAGTTTAACATCTTGTCAGGCAAGTCCTTCCATCTTATTCTTCATGAAGATCTTGGCTGTTTTTGGCCCTTTTCACTTTCATATAAAGTTTAGAATTAACTTGACAAGTGCCACGGAAACAAACAAAAACTTTCAGAATTTTGATAAAGATTTAGTAGATCCAGTTGGAGGGAATGAACATCTTTACAAAATATTTAGCCCTCTAATCTATGAGCATAATATATCTATTTAAGTCTTTAAAACCTGTTTGTTGATAAAAAAAAAAAAATTGATTAAGCAATATAGAACTCAAGTTCCATATGAATAAAAATATTTTGGGGGGTGAGTTATTCTGGTTTGCACTTGGTGTTATGGGGTAAACATCCCCATTCTTTATTGCTCTGTCCACCTCCTTAAAATTGCCCAACTTTGAATCTCATGCCATCAGACGTTACCACCCACCGCTCCTCCTTGTAGCAGTCTAGCAAGATTGTATCACACTCCTTCATTCCCTGAAGATTTTTAGCTCCTAGCTCACTGTCACCATCTGTAACACTGCTATCATAATTCTTGGTGATCTTAATATCCATCTAGCTGATCCATCCAATAACCTGGCCTTTTTTTTTTCTTGACCTCCTTTCCTTCAGGGATTATATTCTCCATCTTACCTTAGCTATTCACTCCTATGGTCATACCTAAGAGAGACTTTGTTATTCTTTCACTTTGTCTCTGCATCCGTGCTGCTCACTGTAGAGGAAAGCATGCAGTCATGTTCTAGTTCACTTTAAGCTCACGGATGCTAATCTCGAGTGGGCCTTTAATGTCCTCCCTTCTGCCCTTAACCCTCCACTGCTTTTTCTCCACCCTCATTCACGGCTGCAACCTTAGTTACCAGTTCACTGAGGAGAGAAGTAACCCAGATAGAACTGCCACGTTCTACAAGCTCCCACTGACACATCTACTCACCTCCCTGCATCTGTGCCGCTAATATTCTGCTACCTTCCCATTAAAATGAATGGACTGTATGTACATCTATCTTAAGCCAACCTCTCCACTTGCGTGCTGGATCCCATTGTTCTTCCTTCTCTCCTATATCACCAATGTTTCCTTCTCTTATTCTGTCAAATAAAGATGGTATATTTTCTTCCATCTTAAAAAAACAATCTCTTCCCCTGGCTGGTGTAGATCAGTGGTAAGAGCGTCAGGTACGCACCCAAGCGTTAAGGGTTTGCTTACCACTCCTGGTCGGGGCACATGGGGGAGGCAACCAGCCATGTGTCTCTCACATAGATGTTTCTTTCTCTCCCTCTCTCTCTCTCTCTCTCTCTCTCTCTCTCTCTCTCTCCCTCTCCCTCTCCCTCTCCCTCTTCCTCCCTCTCTCTCTCTCTCTCTCTCTCCTCCCCTCCCTCTCCTTCCCTCCCCTCCCTCCCACTCTCTGAAAACAAACAATGGAAAAAATGTCCTCAGGTGAGGATTAACATACAAATCTCTTGATCTCATATCTCCCTCCAGCTGGTACCTTATTTCTCTTTTCCTTTAGAGAAAACACTTGAAAATGTTCTAGATACTGGATATGTCCAGTTCCCTGCCTTTTGTTTTCTCTTGAATCCACTGCAATCAGGCTTTCACTCCCACCATTCTGCTAAAACTACACTTATAAAGATTAACAGTGGCCTCATTTTTGCTTATTCAGTGAAATTGTTGTGACAAATCACCTCAAAACTTAGAGGTGTAAAACAACCATTCATTATGCTCAGTGTTTCTGTGCATCAAGAATTCAGACAGGACTCACAGTCATCAGAAAACTTGTGTATGTGCATGTCTGGCCCGGAGCCTCGGTTCCTTTCTATGTGTGCTTCTCCATGTGGTCTCTCCGTTTTGTTTGGGTTTCCTCACAGCATTGTGGTTGGGTTGCAAGGACGGGTGTTCCAAAAGAGAGGCAGGTGTAAGCTGTTTTGCCTTTTATGACTAAAGGTATAGGCTCTGCCTCTGGATGGGGACTGACAACTCGAAATACTGCTGTGACTATTTTTGAAAAATACAATGCCCTATCCATATTGCTAAATAAATTGTCAGTTGTCTGTTTTTATTTTACTTGACCTATCTCTAGTATTTGGTAGTTCATCCCTCGTTCCTTGAACACTTATCATGGATTTCAGGATATCATACTCCTGATTTTCCTCTAACCTTCCTGGGCACTCCTTCTCAGACTGTTTAGGTAGTTTTTCCTTATCTCCTTAATGTCTCCAGGTCTAGGACTTTTCTCATTTCTATCTGTACACTGTTGCTCTTCTGATCTCACCCAGCCTCATGGCTTTAAAAAGCTGTATGGTGGTGAGTCAAATTCTAGCTTGAAACTTTCCCTTGAACTCCAGACAAGTATGTACAGTTGCCTAAGCGGCAGCTCCACTAATAGACACCTTAAATTTAGTGAATTCTAAACTGAATTCTTTTTTAAAAATTAAGTTAATTGAGGTAACATTGGTTAATAACATTATATAAATTTCAGGTGTACATCATTATAATTTGGTGTCTGTATACTCTATTGCATGCTCACCTCCCAGTTTCTGTTACCATATATTTCACCCCCTTTACCCAATTCACCCTCCTGCTAACCCCCTTCTCATTTGGTAACTGCCATTCTCTTGTTTGTATTTATGAACTTGTTTTTGTTTGCAAAACTGAATTCTTTTTAAATCTCTTTTTTTTAATTGATTTTATAAAGAGAAGGGAGGGAGAGAGAGACAGACCGACATTGATGTGAGAGAAACATCATTGTAAGAGAAACATTGATTGTTTGCCTCCTGAATGTGTCCCGACCAGGGATCGAATGACAACCTGGGTATGTGCCCTTACGTGGAAATGAACCCACCACCTTTTGGTGTACGGGAGGACACTCCAATAAACTGAGCCCCTCCGGGCAGGACACAAAACTGAATTCTTAATCAGCTCGCCTGTATCTTGCTGAATTTGTTTCTTCCACTGTCGTCCCCATCTCAGTAACAGGCAACTCCATCTTTCCAATTGTACGGGTCCAAACTTTTTTAGTAATAATTGACTCCTCTCTTTCTTTGACACTATATGCAAGCTGTTAGGAAATCCTGTTTGCTCTATCTTGAAAATATATTCAGAATTGGATATTTGGTACTGCCCCAATATTATCCTGGTCTACATCTTGCTGGGATTATTGCAATAGCTTTCTAACTGGCTCTCCTGCTTCTGTCCTTACTTGGCTGTAGTTAACCCGAGTTAAACTGTTAAAGCATAATCTAAATCATGTCATTCATCTGTTCAGAACACTTCAATCACTTATTATCTCAGCCTAAGTCCTTAAAATGGCCTAATGCCCACCTGATCTCATCTGTGTTACCACCTCTCTGACCTCATCTTGTGTTCTTTATCTTACATCTTCTGCTCTAGTCAGTGGCTGTTTTACTGCTCTAGGGACAGGACAGTCATACTCATACCCCAAGGCCTTTACACTTCCAGGTCCCTTACCTCGAGCCTCTTCCCCTAAATATCACTATATCTCACTTCCTTATCTCCTTTATGTTTTTGCTCAGTTCCCAACTTCTCAATGACTATATGACCTCCATATGTAAAATTACATTGCCCTTTCCCCAGCACTCACTATGCTTCTTCCTTGCTTTTTTCATAGCACTTATAAATGATTTGATATGCTACCATATGTATTTTTAACATTTTTGGCTTATTTTTTAGGTTTTCTTATAAGACTGAGAAAATCACAAGGTACATGTCAGCAAGTAACCAAGATCCAGATCCAGGTAGTACTACAGATGAAGATGTTACAGATACTAAAGAAGAACTTATTAAAAAATGTGAAGAAATGTGGAAAAATATGGAAGAAGTAAGTATTGAGATTAAAGTCATTTATTGGTTAATTACTTTAAGATTTAATTCCATTTCAATAATAGACTTAAGAAAGAAAGAATTCTGATTCCTGAAAGTCATTAAATTGTATGATAAATATTTATATAGCTTTTAGTCCTATAAACATTTTTTCAATGAAATTTATACTGAATGAACTGTAGAAAGAGAAAAATTACAGCACTCTCTACCCTCAAGGAAATTTTCATCAATGGAGTCAATAAGCATTATATTAGTAATGTGATAGAAGTCCTAAACCTAGACTGAGGGGGTCAAAGATAGCGTCCTCAAGGAGGTAATGGCTGAATTCCTTTCTAAAGAATAAATATAAGGTGACATGACGAGATATATAGTTTGGGAAAATTACTGGTGGTTTTGAAGGAAACGGAATGCAGAAGAGTGAGACTATAGGTAGAGTGTTTAGGAGGCTGTAGTAGTACTGGTAAGACGTACTGGAGGGCTAAGTCCTGTCTTTGCAGAGAGACAGGAGAATGGATTCAAGAGATATTAAGGAGGTAGGACCAAAAGGACTTGGAGATTAATTGTTGTGAAATGGGGGATTATGGATAGTTTCAGGTTCCTGGTTTGGGCCAGTGGGTGGTTACTGGAGTTGTTTCCTGAGACAGAGGATATGGAAGTGGAGAAGACACACAGTTATGGCGTTTGAGTGAAAATATGAGTTAATTTAGAAAAATTTTTGATTTGTAGGTCCATTTTTTGAGTTAGTGAGATGGAATCACTTTTGGTGCACTACAGTATTTTGGTAAAAGTTCATTGTCTTGGACTAGCACAATACATGATGCAGGCCATGGGCTTTTTTGCACGCTGTTCTTCCCAGTAAGTCTTCACATCAGGGCAGTGGTGTGGTTCCCCCCCCCTTTTTCTGTTTTTTTTAAAGATAATTTTTTAACATAAATCTTGGTACTTGGTATCGTTAATGTATTTTCAAGATAATTTATATAACCCTGTTTTTTTTGCTTTTGATATATTTCACTGTAGAAATTTGATTTTTTTAAGTTTGATTTTTAAAATAACTTAAAATATTTTTTGTAGAAAGATACTGATTATATGCCTAAATGAGCAGTCATGGTGGGTAGTCATGCCTGAGGCATATAAGTTATTAGTAAAAGGTTTGTCTTTGCCTTAAGCTAGCCTTGTCCATTGTTTCATTGCATGTAGGTTAACACACCTTTGAAATAACCATCCTCAAGAGCACAAATAAATAAATCATATGGCATTTGTCTTTCTCTGTCTGACTTATTTCACTTAGCATAATAGCACTCTGGGCCCATCCATGCTGTCCCAAATGATAAGGCTTCATTCATATTTTATGGCCACGTAATTTTCCGTTGTATGTTTGTACCAGACTTTTTTACCTACTCGTCTATTGATGGACACTTGGATTGCTTCCATCTTGGCTATTGTAAATAATGCTTCAGTGAACATAGGACTGCATATCTTTTTTCGAATTAAGTGTTTTAGATTTCTTCAGATATATACCCAGAAGTGGAATTGCTGGGGGTTGAGGGGCTAGGTGAAAAAGATGAAGGGATTAAGAAGTACAAATTGGTAGTTACAGGATAGTCATGGGATGTAAAGTACAGCATAGGGGATGTAGTCAGTAATAATGTAATAACTAAGTACGGTGTCAGGTGTATACTTGAAATATCAGGAGGATCACTTTGTAAAGTATATGATTATCTAACCACTATGTGTACACGTGAAACTAATATGATACTGAATGTTGACTGTAATTGAAAAATTAAAAAAAAAGAGCACATAATTTTGTTAACTATCCTACAATCCAATACCGACCTTGCTTTCTCCCACCTCCATATACATTCCTTCCTTAATTTCAAATGAATAAAAGAAGCTGCAAGACTGTTATTCTCTAGAGCATTTGAGGCCTTACTCCATGGTCTATGTCATTAGTTTGGCTCAAATAAACTCTTAGACTTTTTTTTTCAAAAAAAAGATACTGTAAATAGAAATAACCACCAATAAAATTTAAATTACCCATAATTTTATTCAGATGTAATCACTATTAACAGTTGTAGATTTTTTTTTTAATGGCAAAGAAACAATGTCTCTTAAGGGCTTTATTTTCCTATGACCTTAACTGTCTTCTTAACTCTTGTTATTTTTCTATAGTGTTTTCCCTCTTACTCCCCATTTTTTCCATTATCTAGCTTCTAATTCACCCTAGTTGTTATTTTTTGTTTCTTTTCCTTTACTCCTCATACTAATTTTTTTATTCTGTATAGAGTCTAGTATACCCTTTTACTTTCAATGTATTCATCTGGGGACCTATTTGGCTGCCTTCCCTTATCCCCTTGCTTAGATAGTGAGGAATTAAAAAAAATCTTTTGTCTTACATCACATGATTGTGTGTTGTTGTAAAGGCATATGACATTGGTATAAAAGGGGAGGGAGAAGAAATTTGGGGTTATAATGTGTGACTTGTTTTTTTTGTTTTTTTACTTTTTAAATCAAGTGTCAGAATAAATTATCACTTATTGGAACTGAGACACTCACTGATTCGAATGCGCAGGTATGTATGCTTTTTTCTTTGGAATTCATTGTTTTGGATAAGAAGTTTATCTGTCTATATTTTTTCAAGTATAATAGTTTTGTTAATACCTGTATGCTTAATCATTTGGATAATTCTCTACTCTTTCTGATTTACAAGAAGTATTTAAAAAACTTCTTGAATAAGCTGTTAATGAATAAATAATTTCTTTTTTATCTTTTCACAGCTATACATACATTTAACTGTTGAGTCAGTTGCCCCTTGGCTGCTATTATGATACTTTGTTAAAAGTTAGAACAAAGACTTTTCTACTTCATGATAGATATAGTAGCCATAGGTAGTTTACTGTCTGTGTGGAATCCTAACTGATTGTACCCGAGACTTAAAAAGGATTAAGATACACATTTTAATAGTCAAAGACCCATGGAATTGGTTTAGGAATACACCAGAAGGTCTTTGCAGCAGATTAAGGATTTAAAATATGACAAAGATGATAGTTCCAATGTATGGGAAAAGGATGAATTAGTTAATGAGTGATACTGGTACAACCAGATACCCATCTGGGAGAAAATAAAATCCAGCCTTCGTATTTCATTGTATAGACAGATTCTAGGTGGCTTACCATAAAAATTTGAAAACAAAAGCAAGGAGACTGTGCAGTCTAGTGACATGGAAGAACTTCTTGACTATTAATAAAAACCTAGACATTATAAAAGACTACTTAGATGTATTTGATCATATAAAGGTGATCAAATGTGCTCTGGCCAGTGTGGCTCAGTTGGTTGAGCTTCGTCTCATGCACCAAAAGGTCACTGGTTTGATTCCCAGTCAGGGCACATGCCTGGGTTGCAGGCTTAATCCCTAGTGGGGATGTATAGGAGGCAGCCAATCAGTGTTTTTCTTTGTCTCTCTTCTTTTCCTTTTCTCTCTCCAAAATCAATAAAACACATTTTTTTAAAAAAAGAGTTAAAAATGTTTTAGTAATAAAAATTCTAAGAACAAAGGCAAATATACAAATGATTCCACTAAAAGTTCTCCAAAACTGGTGGGAGCATGCCAAAAGATAATTGAAGGAATAATGGCTTAAATTCATTATAACAATATGAAAAAATTGTAATCTTATGAGCATAATAATACTCAATAAAAAATGAGAATGAGAGAGAAAGAAGAGGGAAAACTAATTTGTCACTTTTGGAAGTACATGTTATATCAGATTTTTTTCTAAAAATTGGTGGTAAAGAATTAAGCCATCAATAAATACAGAGCTCTGTTGTATAGGGTAAAACTGCATAGTGTATTTGGAAGAGCTTTAGTATATAAACTATCACCTGTTTTCCTTGGGAAATGTGGTTCCTACAGTGTAGAATTTGCGACCTGCTGAATCAGAATCAGTAGGGATTGGGCCTATACATTTCCTGAATGGTTTCCATGCCATGAGCCTAACACTGGCTTTGAGGGTGTTACTTATGTAGTTGTACATGATCAGTATCTTGCATAGTCAATAATAACATCTAATGAATCCGCAAAATGTCTTTTCCTCTCGTGCTGAGGGTCCCCAAGATTACTCTCAGTTTTGATGATTCTGTAAGGATACTCACAGGACTCAGTATATAGTAAACCTCACGGCTGAGATTTGTTACTATGAAAGGATTCAGAATAAAATCAGTAAAGGGAAAAGGACCATAGGGTGATATCCAGAGGAAACCAGGCACAAGCTTTCAGGAGTCCTCTCCCAGTGGAGTCACACAAGAGAAGCTTAATCCCGCCACTGATTTGTGATAACAAGTGTGAAATGTTGTCTACCAGGGAACCTCATTAGAGACTCAGTGCCTAAGGTTATTTGTGGGGGCTAGTCACATGGGGATCCTCTTCCTAGCTGTTATCAAAATACCCCGATTCCCAGAAGGAAAGCAGGTGTTTAGCATAAGTCATTCTTTGCGCACTTTAGGCCCAGGTAGCCACTATCCAAATTCCCAGATGCCAGCCTTGAGGGCAGGCCTATAAAGATAACCTTAGGGCTTGCTGTGTTCTTTTCTCTGTATACCTATTAGACTTAAAATCTTCCATAGTAAAACTCAATTCATTTTCTAAAGCAAGAAGTTGGATATTTTATTTATTTTATTAAAAAAAATTTTTTTTTAAGAAGGTACTTTTTTTTCTTTTTTTAAAATATATCTTTATCGATTTCAGAGAGAGGAAAGGAGAGGGAGAGAGAGAGATAGAAACATCAATGATGAGAGTCATTGATCGAGCCTGCACCCCGGGCATGTGCCCTGACCGGGAATCGAACCACAATCGCCTAGGGTCCTAGGTCGACGCTCAACCGCTGAGCCATGTGCGGCCGGGCAAGAAGTTGCATATTTTAAATGAGAGAATGACGGGATTTCTCAAATTTTTGTGTTTAAATAACTTAAGAAATAATACTGTTACATATATATTTTTAAGCAAAGGGTGTTTAATTTTACAGTAAGATCAGAAATAATTTGAGTGTCTTACCTGTGCTTTGGCAAGGTAAGAGCTGTGTTTCATCAATATAGTATGAGGTTGAACTGTATGAAATTACTGTTTTTTAATAGGCTAAAAAATGAATATATAATTCAACCTAATATGTGAAGGAGAGTAGTGTGAAATCTTTATCATCATGATAGTTTGCCTAGTTTAAATACTGGTTTTTAAGAATTTGTGATCATTTTCTAGTAATAATAATAATTAACATGTATAAATCGAGTTATAATTAATAAAAATCTTTCTCACATTCTTATTTAATTATCTATAAGAATAATGTTGAACTCTTCTTTGGAAAATAATTTAAATACCTGAAAATGCATTTTTATATAATTATATGAAATTTTCAAAGAGACTACGTTTTTGTTTTGCTTCTTTAACCTCTGAATAGTAAAAAAAATGGTTAAAAAAGACAGTACTTGAGCCCTAGCCAGTTTGTTCAGTGGTTAGAGTGTTGGCCCTGAGACCTAATGGTGCCTGGTTTGATTCTGGGCAAGGGCACATACCTCAGTTGCAGGTTCCATCCCTGGTATAGTTGCGGCGCTTGCAAGAGGCAACCAGTTGATGTGTCTCTCTCACATCAATGTTTCTCTCTGTCTTTCTCCCCCCCCCCC